GTTTTTTGTCCTGTTCTTACCTCAGATATGCACACGGGGGGCCCATCAAGAAAGGCTGATCACAAGAAGCCTTCAGTAGGCTCTGGATTAGCTCCCTGCAGAGCAAAGGCCATCAAAACCCTCATCCAAACCTCAGAAAATGCCAATTTTTTTAATGTATCACCAGTGAGTCCCATCCTGTGTACCATCATACCTCAATGTTAGCTCCCACACATTCCCACCCAAGCGACTTTTACCTCCTGGACCACAGAGCTGCGGCTGAGGCAGCTGCCCCCACCACAGGCCATGGAGTGGCCACTCGTGTTCCCATCTGTGTCTCTACTGCTCTGGTTTTGGGGCAGGTTTTGCTCTGCACGAAGAGCTGCTGGATGAACTCACCTCTAAAACAACTTTTTTCCAAGTCTAGATGCTGAAATCACATGTCTAAAAGTAGCCACATCAATAACATCAGCTCCTAATCATTTGCTAATAGTGCTAAATACCTGTCAGCCTCAATCAGTGAGCAAACATTAATTATGGTGCGTTCCAAACAAGCAGGGGAAGATGTTCGTCACACTTTTATGGAGGTCAGATATTGTCAGGCAAGGTGGCCCAATATTGGTGTTTGACTTCGCTCATCATGCAGGGCTTGGTGGCATCTCATGGTGGGGACTTTGCCCCTCGTGCTGCTCTGGCCTTTTCCGATGCTGATGTGGTTTTGGAAGATGAGGCAATCCCTTACCCCCGGGTGAAGCTGAATGTAATACTGGCCTTGGGTAAGGGGGATTAGCTGAGTCAAGGCTCTGGGGATGAGAGCACATGAGCAGTGGCAGAGTGCAAGGTGCTGAGGCAAGGGGAACACACCACGTGCCTTCCTCCAGCACTGTCAGGAGGAAGGATGACAATGCAAAATGTGTCCAAAATGGGGAAAAAAGAAAAGGAAGCACAAAGTTTGGGGGATTGCATCATATAGGGCCAACTGCTACTGCTTTGGGCCATTGCCTGTAGCTTTCCCCCTGCTGTTCCAAAGGTGGAGCATCGAGAACAGCCTCCAGCAAGCACTGCTTCATCAGCCATCTGCTGCGTGGGGAAACCTCTTGCTTCCATCTTACAGACACCTGCAGTAAACTCATTAAGGGTTGGGACAACAATGCTGTCATCGTTGCCTGGGATAATCCTAAAGTCTTGGCTGTCCCAGGCACTTCCAAAGGTGCACAGAGGGCTCTTGCACTTGGTTTTGGCCATTGCTTCTCAGTATGTTTTGGCATCTCACATTGCCCCAGCCAAAGCTGCCAAATGCTGGGGCCCCCCCAGGTATAGTCCCAGCACTCATGGGACACCCCCAGCACCCTAACCCTAAGCCAAAGGGCAGATCCATGGAAATTAGAGGAGATCATTAAAAATAGTGCTGGTGGGAAAAAGAAGAGAGATGGCCCTCACTATGCATACTTGGAAATACATCTCCCCCATGGAGTTCGAGTGGTCTCCATGATGACCACACCCTGCTCTGCTCCATTCCTTGTCATTTATCTCCCTGGTGCCCCCAGGGGCATTGCTCAAGGGATGTGATATGGGTGCATCGGTGCCAGTACTGCCCATCACATCCTGGCGTGGGAGGTAATGAATCGATGCCATTATCAACACTGCCATCCATCCTGTCAGTTACTGTTCCCTGTGCTTGTATACACACATGCAGACACAAAAACACATATACACCAATCCCTGCCAAAAAACCTGGAGTGAGGCAAACACCAGGAGCTCCCTGCCCCAGGGACGGTCCCCGTGGTAGGTGCCAGGCAGGAACCTGGAGCTGGCAGCTGTGGGGGCAAAAGGACGGAGTGGGGAAGGAAGTGCGAGCCCCCATAGCAGAGAGGGGCCCAAAGGACACAGAGGACACAGGGATGGGAGATGTGAGGTTTGACTGCAGTTCAGCATGGGAGAGGCACTAGGGCAGTCCGTGGGCTTGAAGGCATGTCCCTAAGCATTTTGCTGAGTAAAATCTTTTCTTGTGGAACATAACTAAGGAAAAGCATGCAAAAGGTAGATGAGAGGTTCTCTCCCAGCCTTGGCCACTGGTGAGCTACCCTCGCCTGCCACTAGGATTGGGATTTGGTGTGAGAGACACCAAAGAACAACTACCACCCAGTCAAGCCCTGTAGCACCCACACTTATCACAGAATAGAAACATAGAACCATAGAGACTTAGCATCTTTCCAAGGTGATTGCATTGTGGCAGCGGAAGAACGCTTGCGTAGGATCCCAGTCAGCTCTGCACCCAAAGCAGCCCCAAGCAGCTGACTGATAGCATGAGGGCATGGGGAGGGGCAGATACTCCACCTGCTCCGTCACAGGCATCTCTTCCCTCTTATCCTTGTGTTGAAAATGTGCCCTCGTGTGAATTTTCCAAGTGTTTAGGAAATGGCATTGGGAATGGGTGAGGTCCTGGCATAGCACCAGGAAAAAGTTTCCACGGCTGCTCTCTGGGCTTGGGACTGGTGAAATAGGTGCTGCTAATTAGCTGCAGCCATCAGCATCTGCACGGCTGCTGCACAGTCACCACAGCTTCAACCATTTTGCCCTGTGCATGCCCAAAATCATAGAATTATTAAGGTTGGAAAAAAACACTCTAAGATCATCCATTCCAAGTACCAACCCAACCCACCAAGCTAACTAAACATGTCCTCAGTGCCACATCTCCATCTTTCTTGAACACCTCCAGGGACGGTGACTCCACCATCTCCCTGTGCAGCCTGTGCCACTGCATCACCATTTTTTTGGAGGAGAACTTTTCCTGGTACAATCTGCAGGATCTGCCTGGTCCTGCTGGTGTCTCCTGCAGAGAGGACCCCTATCCTGGTGTGTCGGAGTCAGGGTGCTCCTCCATCCTGCAGGGTTGAATCATCTGCCCCCACACACACCTGGAGAATTCACAGGAGGTTGTGAAATGGTGGCCCCAAGCCAGGGTGCGTCACTTGCCGCCCACATCCACCAGCTGATCCAGCACAGTGCTTGCCTCTGGATGGAGTCGAGAATAGGAGTGTCTCAAAGCAAGCAAAATTTTCTGTGTTTGCATCAGGACAAACACCCCATGGAAATAATGAGGGAGCGTTGAAGTGACACCTGGCGACCAGTGCTTGGTAGGGCCACCACACACCAGCACATGAGTGCATCAGTGGCAGCTCTGAAAGCCTCAGTGCCAAGGGCTGAAGCTGGGTTAAATGCTCTGGAGATACCTCAAAAATCTGATGGGACCACATCTGTGCTCTGAGTGCACAGCCCCATCTGCACCAGCATGAGGCTGTACACCCAATTGGCAACCATGGGATGCTAGGGTAGACTGGTTGGACTGGAAATGGGTGTCGAGGAGCTGTCCTGTATGCAGCCTAAGGGCCAAACGCTGAGTAGGGTTCCAGCGCCTGTTCCTTCCCACTTCAAAGGAGGGTTTGTGCCTCTCCCACTGCACCATCAGCTGCTGGGAGAGCCTCAAGGGGCTGCAGGCGGTGGCGGGCCCATCCCCGCTGTCTGTGAGCCCACGGGCAGGGCGGTTTTGCCCAGGTGGGACACGAGGGGACACCACACGTGGTAGCTGGGAACACCTTGTGATGCACCAGCACCTGCAGCGAAGAGGGCACTGAGAGCCCTCCGACTTTCCCCATAGCGGCCCAACAGCGTTTGCTGAGTCACACGGTGCTGGGTTCTGCTGACTCATGGCTAGCAGTACTCATGGCTAGCAGTGCTCCCGGCCACGTGCCTGCAGGGCAGGAGGAAGCAGGGCTGGCTGGCACCCAGGGCTGCTGGACTAACGGGCCTCGTGGCCGGGAGTGGGGCAGAATTTGCAGTGCAGCACATTTTTCTCTCTGCCCTAAGACGCCGCCCTGGCCCTGCTTTGTTTTCTCCAAAAGAAGCTTATGGATTTGGGGGGGCTCAAGCATTGGTTGCTGGTGGGATTTATCCTGCTGGAGGATGGGGCAGCTGGGTGCTGGGCTTTAGTGGACATTAGAAATAAACAGATCATAGTATTGTTAAGGTTGGAGGGACCACTAAGATTGTCCAGTCCAACCTCCCCCACCATGCCCACTGACCACATCTCTCAGTGCTACATCTCCATGGTCCCTGAGCACCTCCAGGGTTGCTGACTCCACCACCTCCCTGGGCAGCCTGTGCCACTGCACCACTGCTTTTTTGGAGAACTTATTCCTAATACCCAACGTGCTACTCCCCTAGCAGAAGCATTAGGGCAGCTCACAAAATGGGCTTGAGGAACCACTACATGGAGAACTGCACAGCCACAGGTGCCAGCCCCTAGCAGGAGGCACCCGGCTGCCCAAAAACACCCTCCATCAGAGGACACGGTGGAATGAAGGCATGGGAGAGGGGCAGGAGGGGCAGCATGGGGCACCTGATGCACAGAGACCCATTGGAGCCCCAATGGAGCTGGGGGAGCTGGTGACAGACTGCAGCTTCTCAGTATTGAGGGCTGAGAGCCTCATGTGTTCTTGGGGTGGGAACACTGCTGCTCTGTAGGGTTCCAGGAGGGCGGGAGGAGAGAAATACTGGGTATACTGGAAGCAGTGCAAGTTGAGGGAGGAAATTCTGAAGGAAAAAAAAAAAAAAAAAGTTAAACTAT